CGCCCCCAGATACCGAAAATGCATTTTTCAGGGCCCGAAAAATTGTTCTCACGCGCCCCGGGGCCTTTCGGAGCCCCCGGGCCTTTCGGAGCCTCCCGAACACCCCCGGTGCCCCCGGACGCAGAAAAAACATTTTTCAGGGCCCCGAAAATTGTTTTTGCCTCCGGAACGCTTCCGGCGCCCCCGGACGCCGAAAAAACATTTTTCGGACCCCCCGTCGGAAAGCTGAAAAGCCTCCGTCCCGAGCGGGGTGCCGTCGGACCCCTGCTTTCGCTGGGCCCGCTCAAGTCCCATCCCCCCGAGACCGCGACGCCGGAGCCCGTGACAACGGTCACCCTGGAGAGGGGCGCGGCCAGCGCGAGCGCTGCCGCCCCCCGGGGGCACCGCTCTCCCCTCTCCAAGCTGATCTCTGGCGCGGGCTGCGATCTTTCTCGTAGCGACGCCAGGAGGCGCGCCAACGGCGCAGCGCGCGCGTCGAGCGCCCTCGCGCTCTGGGGGGGGGGCCGAGCCCCCAGGCGCCGAAAAAAACATTTTCCGAAGCCCGAAAAATTGTCTTTGCACGCCCCCGGGGCCGATCGGAACCTCCGGGGCCGGACGCCGAAAAAACGTTTTTTCGAGGCCTGAAAAATTATTGTTGCGCGCCCTCGGGACCTTTTGGAGCCTCCGGGGCGCCTCCAGAGCCTCCGGACGCCGAAAAAACATTTTCGATGCCCCCCACCTCTCCCGCGAAACGGTTGAAACGGAAAACGAAACGAACCGAAACTGGAAACGGCCAAAACGGGAAACGCCCGAAATGAGAACTGGCAAAACAGAAAACTTCGGAAACGAAACGTTTGCTTCCTGTTCTAAGCGACACCGACGCAACCGAACCGACAGGTTCGCGGCCGTCCATGTATGCCAAAGTCAGAGGAGGGGACATTGAGAGCAGCCCGGGGGGGGCGCATCGAATCGAAATCGAATCGGATCGAGCTGATCGAGATCGAATCGAAATCGAATCGGTTTCAACCTGCGCCGAGTCGAATCGACATCGAATCGGAATCGGGCGCGCCCGCATCGGATCGAATCGATCGAATCGAAATGATCCCTGGAAGGGCGTGCCTCGGGGAAGGGTCACAGAGCACTGCAGGTGAACGTCGTGAGGAGACGGAGGCTGCGCGGGAGCCGAGGGCCGAGAAGCGGAGCAGAGGGGGAGGTCACAGAGCAGCACGGGTCTGCCTTCGCCCACCGACAGGCCCCAAGGTTGCGCTGTGGGCTGTGGCAAACGCCTCGCCACAGCATCAAATCGCGATTTCTGCGGTCAGTTCAAGGTCCACGGGTTGCTCCATAGGTTGCGCTGGTCATCCCGCCACACAACCAACATATTATCTGGATGTGTTTCGTACACTACGCTGAGGCAAACACCCCACCACATCACTAACCTCATGCCCGTGAGAATAAACACTAGGGGATAATAAAGTTCGGGGTTCAGGGAGAGATAATAAAAGTAGCCCAGCAGACCTCAGCACAATCTCGAAGTAAGAGATGATCAAAGGGAGACCAAGCCGAGCACGTTTTGAGATATCCTTGGCGTTTAGTTTTCATAGAAATATCCTCAACAATGGCTTATCTCGCTGGAGACATCCTCGACAAATCCCTTGTTTCGCTTGAGACATCCGCAAACTATTGCTTATTTCGCTTGAGACACAATCAAATTATTGCTTATTTCGCTTGAGACATCCTCGAAATAATTGTGTTTTCGCTTGTACATCCTCGAATAATTTGTGCTCGGAGGAGGAGAAGGACGAAGAGAAGAAAAAATCTCGAGTTTTAAATGTATTAGATTATATTTCCAAGCGCTTTATGAAAATTGTTGTTTTTTTTGTAAGTGCTCGTGTAGGGTAGCTCATGTGCCTCAATTTCCATGGATAATCAACCCCAGAGATAAACAAGTTCAGGCGAGCGTGGGGACAGAGAGAACTATAAAAGAAGAAGAATACAGTATAATAAGAATAAGAAAGAAGAAGAAGAGGAAAATAAGAAGAGGACGAAGAAAGGAAAAATCCAAAATTCCAAATTAATCAATTTAAATTTACAAACGCTTTATGAAAATTGTTTTTTTAAGTGCTCGTGTAGGGTAGCTCATGTGCTTCATTTTCCATGGATAATCAACCCCAGGGATAAAACAGTTCAGGCGAGCGTGAGGACAGATAGAAATATAAAAGAAGAAGAGGAAAGTATAATAATAATAAGAAGAGAAGAAGAAGAGAAGAAGAAGAAGAAGAGAAGAAGAACGGACAAATGGAAAGTTCCAAATCTATCAATTTTAATTTACAAGCGCTTTATGAAAATTGATGTTTTAAAGTGCTCATGTAGGTAGCTCATGTGCTCCCCTTTCCATGGATAATCAACCCCAGAGATAAAAAAGTTCAGGCGCGCGCGGGGATAGATGAATATATAAAAAGGAAGATAATACAAAATATAAATAAAAAAAGAAAACTTGCTGGTTTAGCTTGAAACATCCTTGAGACATCCTTGGAACATTGCTCGTTTCGTTTGAGTCTGCCTCCCAAAATTTTTGGTTTCGCTTGAGACATCCTTGAAACATTGCTCGTTTCGTTTGAGTCTGCCTCCCAAAATTTTCGGTTTCGCTTGAGGCATCCTTGAAACATTGCTCGTTTCGTTTGAGCCTGCCTCCGAAAATTTTTGGTTTCGCTTGAGACATCCTTGAAACATTGCTCGTTTCGTTTGAGTCTGCCTCCCAAAATTATTGGGTCCGCTTGACACATCCTGAAAAAGTGTGATCGCTTCGCTTGATGTTGCTATATCATCATCGCTTGATGTTGCTATCTCAACATAGCGTTTCGAGGTGATAATGAAATTCGGCCTCAGCGCTCGCCGCCCAATTTGAATTTTGTATAGGGCGACGATAATCAACTCTAAACACTGAAGGGGGGGGTCCCTTTATTATCATCGGCATGCGGTTAAATTGTGATCTCCTGGGGAAAGTTACCTTCCGTATGTTGTTCCTTTGGTGACGCCAGGCATCGTGGCAGACATCCCGCCGCACAACCAACTCCAGGTGAGTTGCATACCATACCATAGATTTCGTCATCGGTTGCGGCAGGCACCCCGCCGCGCAACCCAATCGTCCTTGCCAGGGCGAGTGCATGTTCTGCATGTCGATCTATTGGTTGCGCCATAGGCTGCGGCGAACATCCTGCCACATACATAACTCGTGATTTCCAGGGTGAGCCTACCTTCCATGCGTTACGCCACATGTTGCACCACAATCTGTGGCAAACCTCGCGCGACACAACCAAACCGCGATTCCCGCCTGGGTGGGTCGACCTTCTAGAAACTTCGGTCGGCATACTATTGTGAGCCTTACGGTGCGAAGACATCCCACTGTACAACCAAATCGCGATTTCCCGTGTGGGTCTGCTTTCCACATGTTGTGCCATAAAACTGCGGCAGACCCTCGACAACACAACCAACTTGCGAAGATCCGTGCTCCCCTACCTTCTCTGGGCCGTGGCGGCCCAAACTGGGGCGCCGTGGTTTGCGAAACACTCCGCCACACAGTCAAATCGCGGTGTACAAGGCACGCCAATGTTCCAGAAGGTGTCGCCACAGTTTGCGCTGCAAGCTGCTTCAAGACACCCTGCCACGTACACGGTCCAGAATTCTGCCTCGGCGGCAGCCGGCCCCGCGGCACGCGGATGCCCTGCAAGCAGGTCACGCGTCGCTCCCACTCGTGGGACCAGCGGCCGGGGAAAAGCTCGGGACGTTTTTCTCCTTGCGACGCCATCACCGCGTCGCGCCTGACAACGCCTCAGCTTGTGGCACGGTCCGTCTCCAGCGCCACGATCCGCGCCAGACCTGGGCCGCCTGGGCCCCAGCGCTCTCGCCAGCGGGCCTCGGGAAAACGCCCCCAGGGTGGGGAAACAAACCTTTCCCGAACAGAAGGTCGGTGAGGGGGTCAGACGGGTCCGCCGCGTCAGCGGCCTCCAGGATGTGACGGTCGATCAACTCCGATCGCATCGAATCGAAAGCAGGGCACCGCCAGAGCTTGTGAAAAGGCGTGTCATCGTGCTGCCCGCACATCGCACAGCGATCGTCCGACAGCATGTAACCCGCTTTTATCGCTCTGCTGTTGGCCCAGAGCGCATCACACGTAAGGCTCCTGATGCACCCTTTCTCGAGAGCCGAATATCGTTTCGATCGGAGCTGGTTGCGGACGATATCGTAACACAAGCGATCGCATGGCAGGCGAAGCTTAGCACAGGGCTTGCGTTCGCGCTGTCGAAGCACAGCGGCCCAGAGGAAATTTGCGAGCACCGCGGGGGACGAGGGCTAGGGCAAAATCGACGGAGGTCGGCACCGTCACGGCTGGGTCATCCAGACAGCCCCCTTCCCACCCCCCCGTGCCCACTCCGAGGGTCCCGAGGACGAGCGTCAACGCTGGGGTGCGACTGCCCACAAACGCCCTTCGGCAGTCGGGGCGCGTCGAAAGGAGGGCAGGAGACGGCTCCAGCATGGAGCCTCTCGAGGTCGGCCTTCACCACGCCATCCTTCGATCCATAGACCTAAATCGGCCCCTCCTCTCTGCTCTCACGAGTGTCCCTCGCTGCTGCTGGTATGGCAGTGCCGCGAGGACGAGGACGGGGCGGGGCACCCTCGTGCCGTGGGGAGGTCATTCCAAACATGGGCGGCGCAGCTAACCGCTGCAGCCCGAGCAAGTGTTGAGAGGCCACGAGGTCATCTTCACAACCCCGTGACGGGAAAATCACATCTCAAACGATCACCTACGAGGTAGGCGGCCCCCGCACTTGTGCAACGAACGCGTGGAAAGGCCCTGCAGCTGCGCTGCTTAGGCTGGGGCAGCAGCGCCCCGCTGAGAGGCGGGGCGGCACCCCTGGCAGACGCGGGGCGTCGTAGACTCCCACATCACCCAAGGAGATCCCGTCACCAACAACGGGGGCGCCCAGGCGGAAGCGCGCATTCGCGTCCACGCCTCAGCCCAACTGGCCCGAGCGGTGGTGTCGGCAAACGCCGCGGGCGTGTCCTCGAAAAGAAGAGAAGGCGCGCAGAGGGCAAAAGTCGCAGGGTCTAATTATGGGAGGGCCTTACGGCTCCGTGGAACCTCGTCACAACAACGGGGGTGGTCCCCTGCGGAAACGCACACTCGCGTCCTCCATAAACCGCACCCTGGCCCAGACAGCCCGAGCGGCGGTGTCGGAAAACGACGCGTGCTTGGCCTCGAACAGGAAAAAGACGCGCACTGGCCAAGAGCCGCAACACTAAGAGAAGAGGAGTGGGCCTTCCCCCCGCGGAGCGCCCTGGCAGATCACTTCCTTCCCCCGGCGGCGCGCCGCGGCGGAAGGGCGAGGCACCCCGACCACGTCGGCACCGCACGCCCGCAGCCCCGCATCACTGCGCCGGGCCGCCCAGCGCGCACGCCGCGGCGGCCACGAGAGCGCACGCCGCCGAGAGTCCGTGCGGGGTGGCCCCGTCGAGGATGCCGTCGCCGGGCGCCGGCGTCGGCACGAGCGGCGGCGGAGGCACGGGCGTGGGGGCCCCGGGGGCCGCAGTGGGGCCGGGGGCCGCCGGGGTCGGCGAGGCGTACGGGCGGCAGGCGCAGCACATGGCCATTGAGCTGAAATCGTCGTCGTCGAACTCGCCGCAGAAGTGCACCGGGTCCATGGCGTAGACCGAGCAGCCGTCTCCGGTGCTGTCCTTCTCGGTGAGGTCGGTGTCGAGGCAGCCAGGGTCGGGTGGCAATATGGGCTCCTCGGTGGGTGGCGTCCAGTCCGGCTCCCTGTCGCTGCCACCTCCGCAGGCACAGCACAGATCGTGGGAACTGAAATCGGCGTCGTCGTAGATTCCGCAGAAGCCTGGATTGCGGCGGTACGTGTCGCAGCCATCTTCGAACGGGTCCTTCAGGCCTACGTCCGTGCTGTAGCAAGACTGGTGTACCTGCACCTCCTCCGGCGCGGAGATTGTAAAACCTGCTGCGTCCATCGTCAGCCCCGAGTCGCTGAAGCTCTGGGCGAGGTGGGCGCGGGTGCCCTCCGCGTCTGCGGCGAGCTGCTTGGCGATCACCAGGTGGTCCGACGCGTCCGACTCGGTCTCCAGAAGGATGTCGTAGTCTGCATGCCACCAGGTCGAGGCGGCAGCGTTGCTCCGGCCAGCCGCAGCAGTTGCGGTGACGCTGTCGGGGGCGACGCCGTGCTTGCTGGTCGCGAAGGAAGCGACAATGGACTCTACGTCGTCTGAAGTGCCGGTGCTGGAGAGGGACATGCCCACCCGCACCAGGTACATCTGCGTCGTTGTGGTCGCTGTGAGGGTAGTCCATACCGCTGGCGGTGACGGCGTCGGTGCTAGCGTAGAGGTCTCTCTTGCGGTTGGTGCAGATGTCGGAACTGCGGTCGGTGCAGCAGTCGGCGTGGTTGGTGCAGCAGTCGGCACGGCGGTCGGCGTAGCCGTCGGCGCGGAAGTTGGCGAACTGGTCGGCGCACGAGTCGGCGAGCTGGTCGGTAGGGCAGTCGGTGCGCTGACCAGCGCGGCGGTCGGCGCGGCCGTCGGCGGGGAGGTTGGCGCGGCCGTCGGCGCAGAAGTTGGCGAACTGGTCGGCGCACGAGTCGGCGAGCTGGTCGGTAGGGCAGTCGGTGCGCTGGTCGGCGCGGCGGTCGGTGCAGCTGTCGGTGCAGCGGTCGGCACGGCAGTCGAGACTGGCGGGGCGGGAGTCGACGGGCAGAAGCTGGACAACCGGCGCTTCGGAGAGTCGGCGCAAGCTCCGTCGTAGCAGTACTTGTTGATACTGCACTCATTCTCGAAGGGGTTGGCGGCCGCGTCGCACTGGCACGGCACGCGGATCTTCCAGGTGCCATCTGGATCGTCTCGGCATGGGCAGGTCTTGCCCCGGCCGTGGCAAGGCAGGGTGTATGTGCTGTAGCCCTCGCTGGGGTCCTTGTACACCACGTCGGTCCCAGAGATCTCAGAGGAATAGAGTTGGCAGCTGCCAACCCCCTCGACGAAGACGAACGTGTGGCAGCCGTGGTCCGTCTTGCACGTCTTGTAGCAAGTGCTGCGGGTGAACCCACTGTCCCCGCTGCGCTCCCGAGCAGGGATACTCAGCCCGTGGAAGCCCACGTCGGCGTCCGGATAGTACTCGGCGTCGAGGAAATCGAAGCCGGCAGCGTAAGCATCACAGATGTAAGTATCGTAGCCTGGGACAACTGCCAAATCCTCAACGAAGTTCTTGTTCGACCAGAGCTCGCAGAACCCCACGTCCGCCCTGTGAATGAAGCTGTGGCACTGCCAGTTGTTCGCGCACTCCATGTTGCACTGAATCAGAGTTTTCCCCGTAAGGAACACTTGCACGTCTGCGTGGCCAAGGAACCCGCGGCTGGCGAACCCCACGCAACCGCTGAATTCTGTTTCAGTCGAATGAGGGTTGGGATCCGCTGGAGCGGCCGTCGCTACATTACCAGTGATGGTCACCGCCTCAGGGTGCTTGCACTCGCCGGCGCTGCAAATGCCATCAAAACCGATCCCCTGGCAAGTCGTTCCGTCGGGAACATTATTGATGGGATGGCCGTTCACTTCCCAGCTGCTGAGACTCAAGCACGTGCCGTCTCCTGCCTGGGTGCACTTGATCTTGCAACCGTTCGCCTCGAGCCCGCAGTAGCTGTCGAAGAAGCTGTTGTCTTGACAGACGTGCTGGGTGACGCACGCGCCCTCGTTGCAGTAGCCGTCCGCGCCCGCCAGCGTGCACGCGAAGCCAACCGGCTGGAACATGCCCGCAGGGCTGCAGCAACCACCGTGGCCGATGGCGCCGTACGAGCACTCCATCGGCGTCGCGAGCGCACCGACTTGCATCTGCACCTGGCAGCCGCAGCACCCTGAGCAAGCCTGCGACCCATCACTGCACTCGCAGCCTTCACCTGGCTCTGTAATTCGGTTGCCGCACTCGGCTTCGAAAGCCGAGAACCCCGAGCAACTGTTGACTTGGGCAGTGAGCTGACCGCAGATCTCAGATTTGCGGAGGTCGTTGAACCGATACACGCCATTTAGGCTGCCGTCGCCATAATCCATGATGCCTCCTGTCTTGCCCTGGCCTTGCTCGAACGAATGTTGGGCTCCGAAATTGTGTCCCAGCTCATGTGCCATGATGTGCCAAGTGGGATACGCATAATTCCCTTTGCTCAGCCAGGTGACTCCTGTGTTGTACCCCCAATCATAGCACAGCACCCCTATCCACGCCAGGCCGATGAAGCCGGAATTCGCGTAGCAATCGTCGAAAAGATGCCACACGCCCATCGTGGAGTCTGGATTAGCTGCAGAGTTCTCCCAAGCAACCAGCGCCCACAACTGATCATTAATCGTCATCGGGCATGTGCTATCTTGGTCCCAGCTTGGAGCGCCGTCGTGGTTCTGCTGAACGACAAGACTGCCCAGCTGGAGGTGGATATTGAGCTGGGGTTCGTACGCCATGTTCGCGTTGGCGACCATAGCGTGGACCCAGTCCTCTGCCTCTTGGTCAGTCTGGAAATTCTCGGCTCGCCACACGTTGGACGTGATGACTGCGCCGAACTTGAAAGTGCGCATCGTCTCCTCTCCAGGATAGCAATTGGTCCACTGGTCGATCGCGTCGGGATTGAGGATCGACAAGCGCCTGTCCACGGCGGGCTCCTTCAGCGAGCCGTTCGGGCGAAGGCTGCCCACGCCGAAGTCAGTGGACGACTTGGCCTCGTTGGGGTCGAAGCGCGTGACCTCGAGAGCGGCGCTACTGTGCTGGTGCCGAATGTCGAATATCGTGGTCCCGACGAACACGGTGCCCGTGAAGCTCTGCCCCACCGCGGTCAACACCGCGTCGCGGGCGGGGCTCCGGAAGACGACGGGCCGACCGAGGGCGCGCTCCGTCCTCTGCCCGCCCGCACCCTGCACCACGACCCTGCCGCCAGAGGACGGCGTGGCCTGGCGGTACAGCTTGTACTTGAAGGTCCTGTCGGGTCGGGCGAAAGGGGGGGATAGCAAAGGGGGGGTTTGAGAATCAGCTCACGTAGCTGATTTTCCCGGCGCCTCCCGGCGCCGGAGGCGGCCATGTATCGAGGCATGGGCCCCTCGGTGAGGCCGAAACCAGCTGCATGCAGCAAATTTCGCAACCCCCCCTTTCCCAATCCCCCCCTTTCGCCCGGCCCGATCCTGTTGTGCGACTGGAAGCCCAGCACCAGCACGCTGCCTGGCGGCCGGTACCCCCCAGCCGGCGCGCCGTGGGCCGCCGCCTCCGAGAGGACGTCCCGCCCGCCCTCGTCGACGAGGCTGAAGCTCGCTGCGACCTCGGAGCTCCCCGCGGCACGCGCCGCCAGGCAGAGCCCCGCCGTCAGCCGCAGGAGGAGTCGGGGCATCCTCGGCGGCAGTGCGCGGTCTGGTCGCCGCAGGCCAGCGGCTCACGCGGGCGGGGCAGCGTGGAGGTCTGCAGCTGCTCTCGTCGACCCCGAGCCTGAAGCAACAGTGGCTTGAGCCAACATGGTTACGGCGAACAAACGCTCGGGACGTTGGTGCTTGAAGACTGGGGCACGGCGGGCGTGTCGCGCCCGAACGTGATGAACCAGAATCGGCGGCGCGACACGGTAAGCAACCGTCCCTGACCATCACATGTTCGCCATCTCTCATCGCCTGGTTCCAGTTGCGCCATCAAGTGCGCCGCAGAGTGCGGCAGACGCCCTGGTACAAGCCCAAGCAGAGACTTTCCACACCAGCTTGCCCTTCCACGTGTTGCGCCACAGGCTATGCCATGGGCTGCGGCTGCGGCAGACAGCCCGCCACGCACCCAAGTCGACCCCAGGCATTTCAGCAACCCCCCACAATATGCGCTGCTTAAGAAACGCGCGCACATTAGGACCCCGACCACAAACAAAAACCTTCCACAAACACCCAACCGTGAGACCCGCGGTCGTCCGTTGATCTTTGGTGTGGGAACGTCACGCTTTCCACAGCAAAACCGTCGAAACACCCAAGAAACCCAGGGGCGCACCCTGGAGGCAAGCAGGGTGCTTCTTGGCATGGGCCACGGGTTTCCAATGTAGCCCATGGGGAGAAAAATACATGGCGGACATCCTGGCCCAGGGTGAGCCTTGGCATACTATAGCCCAGGGTGTTTCTTGGCATGGGTTTACACTGTAGCCCACAGCAATACCATCGGAACACCCAGGAAACCCAGGGCACCCTGGAGGCAAGCAGGGTGTTTCTTGGAATGGGTTCCCACTGCTCACAGACATCGCAGGCTCAGGCTGCAAAGCCTCGCCAGCGCGCCCGGCCACTTCACAGACCCCTTGCGGCCGCTCTGCAGCGTGGCCCGTTGGCGTCGGGGCCGTGGGGGGGAGGGGAGAGCGTGCTCTCGCCGCCACCCAGCACTCCATGCACTCTCTCACCTCACCCATCCCCTCGCCCTGTCGCCCCCCCTGGAGGAGGGCCCGCACGCTTCACCTTCGAGTCATGGGTGCCTTGCTGACTCTCTCTCTATTGCTTCTTGCGGGAGGAGGCGTGGGCACCGGGCGTGGAGGTTCCGCGAACGAGTACACTGGAGCCAAGACGACGGATCCCCCCCCCCGCCGGGACCCTGGGCCCGTGAAGTAAGCGTAGGTAACACCTCGCAGTTGCGCATAAGAGTGCGGGGGGGGGCGCGGGGGGGGTCGCGGGGGGGTCGCGGGGTGGGTCGCGAGGTGGGTCGCGGGTGGGTCTCGGGTGGGTCGCGGGTGGGTCGCGGGTGGGTCTCGAGCGGATCCCAAACCCTCGGTACCCGCCCTCTTCGTTATCGATCATGCCCAGGGGGGGCATATTTTCCTTACCTGCCACGCGCATTTAGTGCAGCACCTAAGGCAGGGGAAAAGAGAGAACGGACGGACGGAGGAGAGGGAAGGATGGAGCACGAGAGAAAGTAGCAGGAGAAGGGGGCTAGGACCAGGAAACAAGTGGCAGAACCAGACGGGCAGACCGGGCGGGCAGACCCTCGCGGGCGAGTCGGGAAGGCGGGCCCAAGCGGCCAGTTCGAGCAGGCGGGTTGCTGAAAGGTGTGCCCTGCATGAATCGCAGGGAAGTCTCGAGCGATCGCGCGATTCCCAAGGAAATCTTGAAACAAATCTGAAGCAAGAGCGTGATTCCTGAGTGTCGACGGCGCGGCGTCTGAAGAAATGGTGAGGAAGTCTCAGGCGAGAGCGTGACTCCTGCATAATTCTGGAGAAGTCCCGCGAGAGGAAATATCAGGCCGGAGCCATTGTTTCTGTATTGTGACCCAACGGCCAAGGCACATTTTGGTGGCCCCGCGGTTCCCTTTGTAGAAAGCCGGGTGCGATCCCCAAGAGGAGCGCTCAAAAAATAAATAAAATGATCACCGGGCAGGGAGGATCAACACCAATTATTAATGTGATGTGGGAACTCAACAACCGCAGCATCGGCACACACACAACAACAACAATCACACCAACAAACACATCAACAACAACACCAACACCAGCACCAACAACAATAACACCAACAACCACAACACCAAACACCACAACGATAATAACATCAGCGACATCAGTAATAACCTCAACATTATCAGCAACAGCGGCCAGCACCAACACCAACATCAACACAGACACCACCAGCAACAACAGTGTGAGCAACAGCCGCCAATCACAGCTGGCGAACACAACGGCAGCAACAACAACATGTACACCAACAACATCAATTACAACATCAACAGCACCAACAACAACAACTAGCAACGCCTAGCAACAACTAGCAACAACAACCACAACACCAACAACAACAACAACAACAACAACGACGACGACACCAACACCATCAACTACCACAGCAACACCACCAACAACACCAGCAACAACACTACCGACACCTGTAAGACTGTTTGCTCTTGTCTGCCCGCGGGCCATTCAACCTCGATGCCCGGCCTCTTCGACTCGATCGTACCCCCTTTAGATTTTAATATCTCTCTTACATACAACGTGTACACCCCTGGTCAATCTTAAGAAAACCATGAGATAATAAGTTTCGGGACCGAACTGGGGAGCGGAGAAAATGAGAGAGTAACGGCGAAATTCCGGGGCAGTTTCTTAGCCGGCTGGCGCTCTCAATGCCGTGGCGCGTCCGTTGGTAGTTGTTCATGTGCAATTGCGCGTGGCAGCGCAGGGCGCGCGGACGCAAAGCGGCGACGCCGACCGCTGGCTCGCCCAGGTGGCGCCGACCTCTGGCCCGCGCTGGTTTTTGTTGATTTGCGATTGCGATTGGCTGCGCAAGGGCGCGCCCCAGGACGCCAGGCGGCGGCGCCGACCGCTGGCCCGCGCTGGTTCTTTCTTGTTTGCGATTGCGATTGGCTGCGCCAGGGCGCGCCCCAGGACGCCGGGCGGCGGAGCCGACCGCTGGTCCGCGCTGGTGCTTGCTTATTTGCGACTGCGATTGGCTGCGCCAGGGCGCGCCCCAGGACGCCAGGCGGCGGCGCCGTCCGCTGGCCCGCGCTGGTTCTTGCTGATTTGCGATTGCGATTGGTTGCGCCAGGGCGCGCCCCAAGACGCCAGGCGGTGGCGCCGTCCGCTGGCCCGCGCTGGTTCTTGCTGATTTGCGATTGCGATTGGTTGCGCCAGGGCGCGCCCCAAGACGCCAGGCGGTGGCGCCGTCCGCTGTCCCGCGCTGGTGCTTGCTTATTCGCGATTGCGATTGGCTGCGCCAGGGCGCGCCCCAGGACGCCAGGCGGTGGCGCCGTCCGCTGGCCCGCGCTGGTTCTTGCTGATTTGCGATTGCGGTTGGCTGCGCCAGGGCGCGCCCCAGGACGCCAGGCGGCGGCGCCGTCCGCTGGCCCGCGCTGGTTTTTGTTGATTTGCGATTGCGATTGGCTGCGCCAGGGCGCGCCCCTTTACGCCAGGCGGCGGCGCCGTCCGCTGGCCCGCGCTGGCGCAGCCAATCGCAGTCGCAAATAAGCAAAAACCAGCGCGGGCCAGCGATCGGCGCCGCCGCCTGGCGTCCTGGGTCTCCGACCTGACACGCTCTGGATGGGGAGTGGCGCTGCGAAGCTCGGAGCAAACCGGGCGACTCCCCGAATCAAAAAGCCTCCGCGGCTGTTTTGGAAGGGCGCCTACGATGTAAGAAACTTGGCCCGTAAGAAAGTGGCAGCCCCTGGCGCGCTGAACATGGCCGCGGCATAAGACATCCGCAAGGGCTGAAATGAAAAAACAACAACTGTCTGATTGAGCGCCGCGGGTGTACTTCGTGCTGCCCCTATAGCAGAGGAAGAGATTACGGACGGAAGGAAACGACAGGGGGAGGGATGTGGATGGGACACGAAAGAAAATACCAGGAGGGGGGCCAAGAGCAGGAAGCAGGTGGCAAAATCAAGCAGGATTAGACCCTAACGGGCGGGTCGGGGAGGCGGGCCCAGGCGGCCACGTCGAGTAGGCGAGTTGCTGAAGCGTGCGTCCTGCATGATCCGCAAGGAAGTCTCGAGCGATAGCGCGATTCCGAAATAATCGTAACGAAATCCGCAGCGAGAGCGTGGTTCCTGAGTGCCGAGAACGCGGCGACTGAATAACTTGCGAGGGGATCCCACACAAGAGTGCGATTCCTGCATACATTTTGAGAACGTCCCGCGTGAGCAACATTTGGGAACAAGAAGCACGCGTGCCAAGGATCATACAATCACGGATGCGGGACAATGGGAGATGGAGATGTCGCCAACCTGTGGTAGTTTCGGGGGAAGCACGCGAGTGCTGCGACATGCTGGCGAGTGACCATAACAAGGGAGCGGCGAATAACAGCATGGCTGTGTGGACGCAGAGCCAATCTCGATACGAAGGCGGTCTTAAGATGACTGGAGAGGTTTGCAAGGAACCAACGGCGTGTTTTACAATGCAGGCCCCCTGTATGGAGCGAGTCGCTCGGTCCCAAGAGGGGGGGCGCGATAGTATGCGTAGCCCAGATCCGCCACCGTGTCTTCAGCACGTCGTGGAGTGCTCCGGGGCTCATGCAACCCTGACAGGCAAAGAGGCTGTGAGGGTCTTAAGGGCCAGGGCCCTTGGTTTCCCAGGCGTTCTTGCGCGTTCTTGCGCTGACCAGGGGTGTGTGTCGCGTGGGCTGTTGGGACGCCACGAATGCCCAAAGACGGGCCAGGACTCCCAAGACGGTGGAAAAGGGCCCCGAGTCGTCAAACGATCGGTCCAAGACGCTCAAGACGGCCCAAGATGCCCCCAAGACGCCCCAACAGGCCTTCAAGAAACCTTCCAGGAACCATACATAGCATATGCTTGATAAGTTGCTGGGAAGTCGTTCGCTCTCGGGGGCCTTGGTGTGAAGAACTTGTTACGTCACTGTGACGTAGTCGGAACCATGGTATATTTCGGCGCCACGGTCGGTCGGTCGGAATGAGCAGAGAAGGAAGGGGGCACGGCCGGGCACGGAGGGCGAGCACGATTGGTCGGTCGGAAATAAGCGGAGAAAGGGGGGGACCACGGGGGGAAACGGGCAGAACATGGGGGGGCAACGGTCGGGCAAGGGTGGGGAAGCACGG